ATTTATTTAGTGTGTGTGTGTGTGTGTGTGTGTGTGGCCAGCTCAGCCCACCAGGGGGCGGGGCTGGCTGGCATGTGGTGCTGGGGGATTGAACCGCGATCCCTGTGCTCTGCTAAGCTTGTTCTAAGTAGGTGCTTTAGACCACTGAGCCATCTCTCCAGCCCAGTAGGTAAATCTTAAGTTAAAATATGGAAATGTTATGAGTTCATGATATTTGATTAGTGGGACATTTTATGACTGTTGTGTATTAGTATATGTTGTGTTTGAACTGTTGCTCAATGTACTGGTACTCCTTGCTTGAATTTAAACAATAGCGCTAGAAAGAGTAACATTAGTAAGTCTCCTAGTGGATTTTATGTAAGCTTCTGTAAAATGGGACTTTTAGCCAGCTCGGACTCAAAAAATATACATGCCTGTATATGAAACACGGGACTCCTTTTGCCAGTTAAATGACATTAGGTCGGCAACCATTCTTAAAGACTTGGAGGACAGGTTTTACTGGGATAGACTGGTTCTGATCCCCCTCTACATGCTAGAAGGAATGTCAGGCCTGCTCTGTTTCAGTTTCCTTGCTTTAACTTTACTCCTAATTTTCCCACCTCTTTGTACTTTCCTTTTTAGAGGCATGTAAAATTAGAAAAACTCTGACCATTCCAACTAAGTGAAGCCCTTAGAAAATGAGCGTTTATTAACGCCAAAGACAGAGAAGTCATTTTAGAAAAAGGACACATACCCCGTCTCTGGGTCAGATGAGACAAAGAGGACTATGCCCATCCAGGAGGACACATATAAAAGCCATGTCCCGGTTTAGTGTTCTGGGCAGGTCTCCTTTGGGAAGCTAAACCTGAGACACGGTGGAGAGAACCGACTTCTGGGTGACACCAGAAGGAGCTATCTCCAAAAGCAGCACACTTATGGGACTAAAATACATTTAGTGTGAGGGAGGATTCAATCTTTTCTCCTAGGTCTGGTTATCATTTAGGTGCATAAGAGATAAGTTGTGGACTTTAAAGCCTTTAACGTAAAGTACTAGGTACATTACTAGAGAAAAACCCAGCCTATTGCTGGACATTGGCACAGGTCTCTTTGTCCTTCTCCAGCCCTGACTTTCCTTCCAGTCATCATACCTCAATAGAAACAGACTTTAAAAGATATATTGCTTTACCTGTAACTAAAGTAATGCAATATATTCAGATTGTTTACTAAGTGATGGTGCTGAGACTGATGTTTTACAAATATAATATACTGTTATTCATGTGTAAGATGAAGTATTTCACTAGTTAAAACAGGTTCCCAAAGACAGATAACAACCTGTCAGCATAAAAATGTTCTAAAGAAACTGGCTTGCGCAGTGTCCAATAGCTTTGGGCCTATAGATAGAGCCAGACATTGTATTTGTGATATAAAACTCAGAGCCACAGCGTTAAAAGGAAAAATCCCTTGGCAGTGCCCCTTGCTTACCATGGGGGCCATATCCAAAACACTGAATGCAACATTAGTTTAATACGACTAAATGCTTTGCATTTTATGATGAGTATGTAAGCCTGGTTGGTTTTTGTTAACTTTTTTTTTTTTTTTTTCCAGAACCGAGGATTGAACTCAGGCCCTGGCACTTGCCTGCGAAGTGCTTATTCCACTGAGCCATCCCCCCAGCCCCGCTTGGTTGGTTTTTAATATAACGCCAGTGTTTCGTGCTGATAGTTAATGCATATGTGACCTCTCTTGACTAAAGCTAGAGGGACTTACAGCAAACTGTCAAACTCCATGAATAAAGGGGTCTAAAAGCTAGTGAGTTGTGATTGCTAGGTTTCAAAAAAGTTTATAAATGTACCTGTTAGCTCGAATATTCATGCTTTGATTATATATGTTTTAATCTCTTAGATAATTTATTTCTAGAAGATACCAAAACCCAGGTAACCATACAGGTAAAATCTAAAACCAAAAAGTTATATCTTTCTCAGTGAGCCCCAGATTTCTGACACAAGCTATAAAAGCTAAAAGGGTTGGCAGGAATAAATTTGTCTGAGTTGAGGTGTTTCATAGTAAAAAGGATACAAAATAAAATTATAGATGAAAAATAAAAACGAGGATACTAGCAGCCTATAGAAAAGCAGAAATGTCCACAGCTGCTACAGAAAGAAAAAGTGTTTGATGGTGTCAGAGGAAGTTTCAGATTGAGGTGGTCATGAATCTTTACCTCTCAGCCTAAATAAAGGAATCCGAGTTAACTGCCAATATAAGGAAAAGCCTGTTAGATGTTTGATAAAAGCTCATACAGATTTATCAATAGTTAAAGGAGACACATCCAGATCCTCACCTCCATCCAAAAAGCTAGTATTTGTAATCCCAAAGTTACATTATTGGAATCCCATCAAGTTGATTCCAATCTACCACTTTCAATGCAACCCATGGCAAAAATAAAGACACTAAATTATATTTTCAATCATCGGGGAGTCAAGGGACTCTAAGTCCAGCCACAAAGATGGCTTTCCAAAACCAAGAGAGTAACTTGAGGAGGATTAACTAAAAATTGTGGAAAGTAGGTAATCATTGTGAGCTGAGCTAGGTAGGTGGCCTACATTTACCTAAGGCCAATTGATAAAAGTCCAGCTCTACACATAGAAAATAGGGTCATGCTCAGTCAAAATGGAGACAGTCGCTCTTCTTTCACGGAGAGCTGCTCCGGTGGCCCTCCACAGGTACTTACCCAGCCAGTGACCGCACATACAAACTAGAGTACTCAGTGTTTTCCCTATTTCTGGCAATCCATGTGCCCCAAGTAAATTAATAGAGTAGGTAAAATATAAAAGGCCAGTTCGTTTGAGACAATATACAATGGCCATAAAAGATAAAAGGGATTAAACCTCACATTTAAGAGATATTTACTAATAGACCTACAAAAAGTTCTAACTCATCTTTTTTGTAATTATCCTGTTGTGATTATTTGACTTGTTTCTTTGGCTTTGTCTCCTCTAGATTCAAAGCTATATGTCTACCCAAGAGAAAAATGCCTGTCATCTACTGAGGGCCTTTAGCTAAAACCTCTGAAGAATATATCTGACT